AGTTAGGATGAATTCATGGCACTATGAATGACCTTTTTAGGGAGATATAGACGGCAGCATCACTATACAGTGAAGTTAGCATAGCTGTCTTCTTGCTAGGATACTAAAGGAGAACAGAAAGTAATGCAAAGATGTCAGGCATGCTTAATTCATAAATTCATAATGCATCAACACACTAAATGTTACATAAAAGTAATGATGCAATATCACGCTACACAGGTACACCTGTTGGTTATAACTCTCCGTCAAAGAAGAATTTTCAGTAGCCAAGGACTCTGCTAAAGCACGAGAAGCATCAAGTGCTCGTTGCAAAGAAAACTTTTCTTGTGTCAAATCTTCAATATGCTGCATAACAACAAGAGAAATACAAAAAAGCAATCAACAAAAGAATTCTTTCAAAGCAACGTGCTCAGATGAGTGACATCACAGTTTGGAAGTATACAACCTAAGATCTATGACAAAATGGAAAATAAAACTTAGTTATTATTAGATATACTAAACAAACTTAGCATGTAATTGTTAAAGTCAATCATTCATAGAAAGAAGGAAACTGCATACACGTTGGCTTATTATATGTATTTTTCTCTGCTATGCTAAAGTTAATTATTGTACTCAAAGAAGGAAGGCAACTTTTGAGATTAAAACTAGGAGCACACGATATCCCAGTGATGCAACGTATATGATGTGGACATAAAGAGATGGAAGAGGGAATTATTAATTAGTTTCCTAATTTATTTGTTAGTTCCTAGGTTCTCTAAGTTTTCCAGATTTCATTAGGATTTTTGGTTTTTCCAGATTTCAGTAGGATTTCTAAGTTTCCTATTTTATTTGGATTAGGATTTCTTTCCTAGAATAGGTTTAATTTTCCTTTTCACTCTAGGGTTAGATTATTATAAATACCCCTTCTATGTAATTCATTACGGAGTTGAGTTGCTGAGATATAAAGAAAAGTTTATTTTCCAGAGAATGGAGACTACTTGGTGTGAAGCCAAACCCCTGGAGTGATTCCAGACCTATCCTTGTTCGTTCTATTTTCTGTTTTCCATTGTTTTCGCTTCTGCTAAACTACCTAAATTCTCAATTCACCCATATCCTACATTGGTATATTCTCAGATGCACTTGAAAAGACAGGTATTTCCATTCTTCAATACAATGTATCCTCAGTATTTCCATGTTGGATACTTTGTTATCATCAACATCTCTTCATTATAACTCTAGCCCTCCTCTCACTAACCCCTCGAAAGTCACAGCTACAAAATAAATTGTGATGAAGATCTTAGTAATCAACCCATATTTCCATCCAAAAGGAAGCTCCGAATATCAAACTGCAACTCAATGGACTACTTGTGTCACCCTTCATGTGTATTGAACAAAGGACCTCAATATTTAATTGATTAAGGAATTTTTTATGCTAAAATTACTAAATATATGCAAAAGAAATATCACCAGTGGACATATGTGTAATCATTCCCCATCAGAAAATTAGGGGTAAATGGTACCTGTTCCAGAGCAGAAAAATCTTCATTCTGATTAGGAGAATAAAATTCATGTTTTCTCTCCACGCTATTCCCCTCAACTATTGGCCTCTGCTGGTCCATTCCAGCATTAGGAGGAAATAAAGACTTCGCAGAATTCTCAAATGCATGAGGTGCACCAGTTTCAAACTTTGAAAAGGATCTCACAGTATCATCATCCATAGATGGCTTACGAAAAGGCGACGAACCTAGAAAACTCATGCCATTTGATTTATAACTGTTGGACATAAGTGATTCCTCAGGCTCACCGTGTTGAAAAACAGTCCCTGAAGAAGCTTTAGACACATTAATAGAATCCAGGAAAGATGAGCGAGATCTCCTAGAATTAGTTTCAGGTGTAACTGAATATAGTGATGAACTTCTGGCATCAGATTCAAAACCCATGGATTCAGATGTCTGCACTGCTGTACTCTGCAAATTATGAAACCCACTAGCAGAGCTAGTAAGCTTTCCTTCTCCAAATCTGAAAGTTATAGGATCACTTAAGTCCACACTACTACCACGCATGTTTTTCCCAACTTCATGAGCAAACCCTCTTATGCTGGTACTGGGCTCAGCCAAGCCTGCCATGAGGTCCCAAAACATAATTACAGTGAGCATCTTCCTTGGAAGAGAAGATTCAAAGAAATTGCATAAGCCTACACTGTGATCATTAGATCAAAACACAGGAAATCAAAATCCAAAAATGTATAATTACCTTCATAAAGTGAAGATGGAGTAGGGCCACCAGACACTGTGCTGGCCTCACTTTGTAGCAATGCGCCGACAGAGTTCTGAGGTGATATTTTTGTAACAGAAGGATGAGAAGAACCAGAGTTACTTACAGAATCCATCAAAGATATATTATGTTCTTTGAACTGAAATTCATTCCTTCCATGATAACTGGAATGACTTGTACTGCTATCAAAATCTTGACTTGCTTGTGGTCGTAGAGCAATAGACTGATCAGATGTGGTCTCACCTGAGTTACCAGTATATTTTTCAAAATCATTATTCATCCCTTTTGTCCCATTGCTATGATTAACGTCTAGTGATCCAGCAAACCCAAAACCGCCATAGCTCTTAAATTCTTGATCACTTGCATGTTTATGCACTTGATCATTAAAATCATTTGTTGAAGGACTACTGTGGGAATTATTCAGGGGAGCTTGTTCCTTTTTTTGGGAAAAATCAACTGCTTTGTAATCGTTGTTGGATGATACAGATGAAGTTTCAGTATAAGCACCACTAGGTCCATCAGATGTACCGGCACCATCTGAGACTGTAACTCGTACAAGTTCAGTTTCTAGAGGTTGTTTCTCATTTGAGCTAACTTCAGGGGCATTGGTTTGGCTAGTGGATGAAGCCTTCTTAGCTCGCTCTGCTGCTTTTTTCTTACGGAACTCCTCCAACTGCAAGAGTGGGGGAAAAAACCAAATATATGTGAAATTCGACAAACAAATAATGAAATTTTTGATAAGTTACTATATCAGAATTGACTAAAATTAGCCACATGCGTATTTATTAACAAAAAATACTGAACTACACAGACCGAGAACTAAATGTTGATCTGTTTATCAAGAGACTTTGTTGGTTAAACAATTCTTTGTCAAAGTATGGGTGACCATGACGTTTTAAATTGATTATGCTCTTCTTTCTCTTTCTTTTTCTTACCATAAGGCATCCATACACGAACAATGCTTGCCACATAACTATGACAACCTAGTCCCATCTGCATTTTCTTTTTCAAAATAACAAGTGGGGTAGCATGCAATCTCATCTGTTGTACGTCTAAAGCTTGTTCGATATAACAAAAATACTGCTAAATCATTTTGTTCCTGCTAGCTCAAAACAAGATGTAAAGGTTGAACATACACACTCAAAAACATCAAGATTCAATATTTATCGCAGTTCCTGTACTGTCTCTAAGCATTATAAGCCAAACAAAACGATTTCCTGAACCCAAAAAAATGTGTTTTAAATCATATGTCAATAGTAGGAAACACAATATCTTCACTATGACAGCAACCAAGTATAGATTCCGACCGTACAAGTGCAAACCAGACAATTGGATTAAAATTCAATGCGAAGAGTCAATCATTTCATATTTCCAAATAAACAATTGCAGATACATATATTATACAAAAACATGCAGACTTATGTAAAATTCCATTTGAACAATTTGAACGGAACTGGATAGTAATCGAATAGAAAAAATACCTTGCGCTTTCCAGCTTCCAAATCCTTTAGTTTTCGCGAGTTGGGCAATACTTGAGCTGAAGCCATTTAATCTCCAAAACTCAAACAGTTTCAAACATATGAATGCACAATTCCCACCACCTCCCCCGCAAACCCCTAACGAACGAAAACCCTACGAAACAAACAAAACAAAACCCTACAAAACCACAGAGATACCCGGATCAAGGAATTGAGCAATGACGCGCAATTCAAATTCGATCAACGGTCGGTTTCAATTTCGAATTCAAAACGTAAAAATCGAATCTTCGTAGAGAAATCAGAAAATATGTATAAAGCCCTAATTTCTGTAGGGACAAAGAGCCCGATCTGATCGGAGAGATGGAGAGCTCTGTGAAATTCTTCGGTTCTGGCAGATCTCCCCCTTTGCTCTCTCCCTCTCCTCCTTTCTCTCTCTCTTTTTTTCTGTGCGTTTTGTTTTCTCAATTTACATTTTTTTAAAATTTTTGCGTGGATGATGATATTACGTGGCGGTAATAAGGGAATTTTTTTTTTTTTTATCTGAATCACGAGGTAGTCCTGATAGGCCCCAATTATGAGTGGCACGGTAATAAGGGATTTTCAATTTGGGCTTTTTGTAGGTTTTTTTTTTATTCGTTTAATTATTTATTTGTTTTTTGGTGTTTTTTGTTGGGGGCGGCGTCGAAGAGATGATTGATTGTGGCTACATAATTTGAATTGGCGACCAAAAGGCCCTTTCGGGATTGTGATTTGTGACAATGCTATTAAATGGTTGGTAACGTACCCATGAATTGTATACCAAATTTTGGGACTTTGTTACAAAAATATTAATTTCTAGGTGTTATAGCATAGGGTCTTATTAAATTTGACTCAAGAAATCCCAATTAACAGTAAGGGGCTTGTAGCTCAAGTGACAATAATCCGTACAGCTAAGAACATGTGTTCGAATCCCCCACCTCTCATTTTATGTCACACAACAAAATAAAACAAAAAATTGATATTACAAATAAACCAAACATTCTTATTATTTATTTGACTGCGATATAGAAACCTTCGGCTAGTGTACACATACTTCGTAATTTTCTGATTTTTTTTTATAAGAAAAAATAAAATTACAACCCAAATCCTTTTGGGCAAGCAGGTCCAAAGAGGTCGAAATAAAAAGCATTTACTAGATAAAGGGGAGCTCAATTTCCCGCAAGTGTAATTTTTTGATGATGTGATACATGATGAACTTTAGTTAAAAAATTGTTTTATGACATTGCTTCATCATGATAAACATTGGTCCATACTGAGCATACAAATTGAAAACAAAGGAATTCATAGAGCATACAAAATATATATATGACTTGGTAGTTTCAGACTTGATCAGGGACACGCGATTTCCTCAGGCATGTCATATGGGCCAGCAATTTTTGGTAGTCAGGAAGGTTGTCTTTGATCACAGGAACTTGCTTGAAATTCTGAACCCATGCATGCAGCCGAGGCAAAGTGCTTGCCCCCAGAACCTTGACACCAACCATTTCTTCAATGGCCTCAAACCAGTGAGGCAACCAACCATGTGTTATGTCTACCAAGCTTATAGTTTCACCCCCAAAAAACTTCTTGTCTCCGAGGCCTTGCTCTTCCAATATTTTCAGGTTTTCCAATACTGCTTTTATTGTCTTTTCTCGCTCTTCCCCGGCAGTTAATTCAAAGAACGGACCAAAAATGGGAGCCTGATAAATAAATTCAAAGTATATAAGCACTTGTATTGATTTTGTAATGCAAATTGAATTTGTAAACTAATCCTATATAGCTATTTGATCTGGTCTCGTAGCAAACAGACTTATTTATCAAATTATATATGTTCACCAAATGATGTGTCAGTATTTCATTTATATATTCAACTATAAACTCACTTTAAACCGCATTTAATTCTTAAAAATAAATATCAATATATCATTTGGTGAACAAATTTGGTGCTTTATCCTTTGTTTTATAAGTCCACTTTACTTATGACCTAGCTTTTGTGAGTCACAATGATCCAATGTTACATTTATAATGAGACCTATTGCTATGTTTATGTATTTGACACCAGGTCTTGGGCCTCACTATTTTCAGGTCCAATGGCAGAGTTCCCCCCTCAAGGAACTCAGTCTCTTTTGTCCCTTTGCCATAACTTTTTTTTTTTTTTTTTGGGTTGAAAATTGCCATAGCATTTTCATTACGAACTACAAAGACAGAAAAAGGGGGCTCTCTTTCTCTCTCTCTCTCATTTTCTTCTTCCTCTATAAAACACCCCTTTTAGTTCTAGGGGCTTCCCTGGAACTAACTCCTTCGGCTAATAAACCGGGCATCTCTCTCCCCCATCAAGTTGTAGAGAGTTCCCCCCGCCCCCTTAGCTTTTGCTGGGCTTTTGATTTTCTTACCTCAGGCAAGTTTTGTCTCACCCCTAGGTGTTTAGGGGCTTCTTGTTAGACCCCATTCAATCTTGACCCAATGTACAGAGAATATACTATTTTTATTACTCAAAACACAATACAATTCAACATACTTACAATACAACTCCTAATATAGTCGGTTAATTGCTAATGCAAAAGACTGAAACACCCTTAGCATCCCATCACTTCTTCTCAGCCTTTTTGGCTGATCTTGGCTAAATCTAAGGTGATTTGCCACTTTTGGCCCCCTGATGGTTGTGTTCTTGATTTTTTGGGCTCTGGGTGTAGATCTCCTTTGATCTATCTTCTGTGGAGGTGGAGTTGAAGCATCTGGTGGGATCTACTATCTTATGGTGGTGTGGGATCGTGTGTGGTGCTGGTGATGCTGTGACTTTTATCTAAGGGTCAAGGTAGAATTTTAGTGGTAAATGCTCTTTCACTTTATGGTGTTTCCAGTTCCAAAAATGGATGAGAGTTGGTTCTCTGACATGATCTCCCAGCAGGTGCATCAAACATAGGGGTGAATCACTCAAAACATATGTTTATGTGTCTGTGATCGGAATCAACAGACATCAATATAAAAATTCAATCCGAAATTTCGTCATATGCTTGTTAACAAACTGAAAATTAAATTATTGACCAAAAAAAAAGACTCAACATCAAAAAATTGAAAACCGTCTCGATCAACATAATAGATTTCAACCCAGTAGACTGTCTCAAAAATTGAACTATAACAAACAGAAAGAAAAAAGAAGAAGTAGATGATACAAAAAGTGATGAAATGAAAATGGAAACTACTCACTTGATACACATAACATTGGATCCAAAACCGCGCGGAGGCTCTTTCGTGAGCATCTTGAGGCAGCAGAAGATAATTCCCCGGCCAAGTTTCTTCAATGTATTCAAGGATGACAGGGGACTCAGCAATCGGTTTGCCGCGATGAACAAGCACCGGGACCTTCTTGTGAATTGGGTTGAGCTGCAAAAGCAATTCACTCTTGTTTGAAACGTCTTCTTCTATGTACTCATATTTCACACCCTTGAGCTTTAGAGCCCATATCACTCTGTAAACATATGGGCTCGGCCAAAACCCTATTAGCTTCACTTCTTCTTCCATGGTTGATGTGTTGAGGTCAAGGCAGGAGGCTCATATATTATAGCAGTCTAAATCAGAATTTAACCATATAAATAAATTCTAAAACTAAAGCTTAAAATAAATCATACAATAGTACAAAGATAAGTTTAGAAAAATCAGAATACGGTCAAGTTTAGAACTTGGTTATATCTCCTTAAGATGAAATTGTCTCTTATTGGTGCTTCAAGTTTCCAATGTCAAACGTCTCTCCCTCCCTGGATACAACGACCTCCTTATTACAATAGGACTCCAAAACACAATAACAACCAACGCATGATTGGTGTTGTGTGTTTGAACTCTCTCTCATATATATGGACTCATCAATAAGACGCACTAGAATAATTACTAACATTAGTGCACTGTGTTTTCACTATGCAATTGTCAAAAATTTAGTTATAACATGTGTGAGACTTACTTATTTATAGATGATGAAATTTGTCTGCTGTATGATTACAGACAATAGTAACTTAGTTGTGGATATCAAAAATTACTAAAAGGGGTTTTGTGAAAACAATTTGAAAGAGGTGTTAGTGTAATTTTTGATGCCTCAAGGGTTTTTTCTTTGGTGAAAATATTTAAATAAAAAAAAATTGATTCTTGAATTTTTTGTATTACCAAATTTCAGGACTTTGTTTTCAAAAATATTATAATTTCTAAGTGTTATAGCATAGGGTCCAAATTTATGAATTTATCGTATCAAATTTGACTCGAGATATTGATTAACAACAAGGGGCTTGTAGCTTAAGTGGCAGTAACCCTTACCGCTAAGAACATGTGTCCTCTCATTATCACTTATGTCACACAACAAAACAAAACAAAAAATTGATATTAAAAATAAACCGAACATTCTTATTATTTATTTGACTGCGATATAGAAACCTTCGGCTAGTGGAGCTCAATTTCCCGCAAGTGTAATTTTTTGATGATGTGATACATGATGAAGTTTAGTTAAAAAATTGTTTTATGACATTGCTTCATCATGATAAACATTGGTCCATACTGAGCATACAAATTGAAAACAAAGGAATTCATAGAGCATACAAAATATACATATGACTTGGTAGGTTTCAGACTTGATCAGGGACACGAGATTTCCTCAGGCGTGTCATATGGGCCAGCAATTTTTGGTAGTCAGGAAGGTTGTCTTTGATCACAGGAACTTGCTTGAAATTCTGAACCCATGCATGCAGCCGAGGCAAAGTGCTTGCCTCCAGAACCTTGACACCAACCATTTCTTCAATGGCCTCAAACCAGTGAGGCAACCAACCATGTGTTATGTGTCTACCAAGCTTATAGTTTCACCCCCAAAAAACTTCTTGTCTCCGAGGCCTTGCTCTTCCAATATTTTCAGGGTTTCCAATACTGCTTTTATTGTCTTTTCTCGCTCTTCCCCGGCAGTTAATTCGAAGAATGCACCAAAAATGGGAGCCTGATAAATAAATTCATGTTGTAAATGCATGAGTTGGTGGATGACCACCATACCTCCTAGCATTCACCCTTTCTAATTCTATGTAACCTATACACTAAATACCATAGTTATGGGCTTGTAACTTATGAGTTGTTAATGTCTTCTTACCATTGTAAGCCTATAAATAAGAGGTCTTATCAAGATGAGAAATACAAGTTGATTGAACAATTTATATTGTCTTCCTCTACTTCCCAATTCTCTCTACAATTTTCCCTTAGTTTTATAACACGTTATCAGCACGACATTGCTCTTGGTATGTATTCTTTCTCTGAATTTTCTTTCTTTTTATATGAGCTAGAGTCATCACATAGTATAGAGTTTCTTTGTACTCACCATCAGACTTCATCATGCTCATTTAAGAAAAAAAATCCTTATTCTTATTACACATGAATATAATGCCATGTTTTTTTTATTTGTTTGTTTATTTGATCTTAAGTATGATCTTAATTATTATAATGAGTTTGTATTATACAAAAGATCAGGACCCGAAGTTCCTCGATCCTCATCATATAACTTGATTAGGACCTAGAGTCCTTTAGATTGAATCAAAACCTGAAGTTCTTTGATTCCAAATAATTGAGGTTGTTAAGTTCCGTAAAGAGCACATAAGGACATGAAACTCCTTGATTTTGTATTAATCAAAATCAGAATTCCATGAGGTCTACATATGTAAAGAACCCGAACCAGAAGTTTCGAATGCATATACATCGATTTGAGTATGAAGTTCAAAGCACAACTATTAATTCAATTTATTTAGATCTATGTATTCGAACTTGAAGTTTCGAATATATGTTGATATGAACCTGAAGTTCATAGTTTTTCATGGATCTTAATACTATATATGAACCTGAAGTTCATTACTTATTTGTGCCTATATGAACCTGAATTGGTTGGAAATCCAATTCTTAAACTTGTAGTTTTATCTACATATTGAATCCACATTAATATTATATTATCTTGGAATTTCATAGTCTTTAATTTATTTATTTTATTCCTCGTTTATACCACTTTACTCATTTTGTTTTATTTTATTTATGTTGGGTTATTAGTTAATTTCGTTTTACAATGGTAATATAATATTGATACTTACAGTTATATATATAATATAACTGAAATCATAATTTCCAGAAGCAATCAATGCCCATTTATACGAAACGAAAAGATAATATAGGTTACACTCTATGTGTATTATGATGGAGTTGAAAAAGAAAAAAAAAGGGGGGGGGGAAATTAAGACCTGAAGATCTTGATCCTCAATATATTTAATGAAGGACTTGAAAATCCTAAATTCTATACATGTAAAGGAATGAGCCAGAAGCTACAATTTCTATACATCTAAAAAGGCAAGAAAATCCTTTTATATATGTGTATGTACATATATAATTTTATGGTTCACAAAGTGAAAAGGTGATTAAATGTTAACGTGAACCACGTTGATCAATACCAAATATTAGTTGGTTATCTCATTGTTATGGTTTATAAATTTGAAGACACTCATAAGCTGTGTGTAGTCTCGTTTGAGTTGTAAATCTTACTGTACAGTAATGTGTTCAATTTATTGTGAACAACTTTAGCACCATGAATGAAAAAGGGATTTCGTTAATTCAGATATTGGAACCCGAAGTCCATATCATAATAATTTAAACTTGAAGTTTAAATATTGAACAATGTGATAATTATAGAACCAAAAGTTCTAAGTGATATGAGGAAATTATTGGTGCATACTATATTATTTATAGTCAATTAAGGTTTACATATTCCTAAATTCATTTTCAATTAATTGGGACAAGAAGATCTCCCATATCAATACTTGTAAAATAACTATTTGTGGACTTGAAGTTCCTCATTTTTCTCAAAAGGCATAAAAAAACCAGAAGTTCTTCAATCACTTTTATTGAAACCAGAAGTTTCAACTATTTATTTTACGGCAATGTAAGGACCAGTTCTTAAAAGACAATACTTATAATATAAATATTTGTGGACTTGAAGTTCCCCAATTCTTAAAAGGCAAATGAAGACCTGAAGCTCTTTGATTTATTTTTCATTGGAACCAGAAGTTTCAACAATTTATTTTATGGCAATATTTTAATTTTTGATGTATTTTATTTTTACTTAGTTCTTTTCTTTAGTGTTATTTTTATTTTATGCAAGGACCCGAAGTCTCTAAATTATATAATTAAAGAAAGACCCGAAGTCTCTTAGGGCTCGTTTGGTATGCCTCCCTAACTTGGACTGGCTTGGATAAAAAATTATCCCATGTTTGTTGTCATATGGTTCTAGTTTTAAATGGGACTAATAATCTGGGGCCCACCAAAAACACCTCCTTAACTGGGCTTAGTGAGACCCGTGTGTGAAGTGGGGACAAACTAATCCCCTCCTCATCGCTCACGCCTTCCTCCCTTCTCCACGCCTTCATGCTTCATCTCTTCCATCAGTTCTCACCCCACCACACACCTTGTCACAGCCATCCCCTCCCACCTAAGCACACACCTCGTCACAGCCATGGCCTCCAACCCTCATCCATGTCAGCTGCGCGCTCTCTCTCTCTCTCTCTCTCTCTGCTACAAAACCCAAATGGAGGAAATAAATTAATTAATTCAAATCGCTTTTTCTTTTTATGAAATTAGGAGAAGAACCTCACAAAACAATAGCTAACCATCAAGCAATTCATCATCAAAAAACCCACCCCGGCAGAAGCTTCCTCAAAGAATCAAATTCCCAAATTTAGATTGTGGGGTTTGGGCATGCGGCTATTGAAGAGAGAGGAGGGTGAAGAGAGAAATAGTGAAATAGGAAATTGAGAGAGTATAAAATTTTGAATTAAGAAGCAGAGAGATAGATATTGAGAAGAAGAGCAGAAGGAGAGAGGAGGGAGAAGAAGAAGTTGAAGAAGTCGCAGGTTGGAAGAAGATAAAACAACAGAGAAAGAAAGAAGAGAAGTTAAAAAAACAAAACAAATAAATCCACTTGCCTTTTTTTAAAAAATTAAAAATAACAAAGTTAAAAAATTTAGTCCTAGTCCAATCGTGCACCAAACACAGTACAAGTCTTATCCAGCTTATGCCAAGCCAATCCAGTCCAAGACAGTCCCAATATTTAGTCTAGTCCATGACAATCCCGCGTACCAAACGAGCCCTTAGTTATCAATCCATATAATATCTATACAAGGAATTGGAGTTTTGCAATTCTTAGAGACCAAATCAAGACTTGGAGTTCTTTGATTTTCTTTAACTGGAACCAGAAGTTCCAATAGTTTATTTTATTACAGTATTTTAATTATTATTTTATTTTTCTTGTTATATTTAGTTATTTGTTTTCATTTCAATAATTTATATTTAAGGACGTGAAGTTCCTCATATGACCCGAAGTTCAAATATCTTAGAACCCGAAGTTCTTATTATCTCTAATCCAAACTATAAGTTTTGGCCACATGTGCATTAAAAAAAAAGGGAAATTCTAGAACCTAAAGTTCTAATTGTGTCAACCTCCAAATTGATATTTCAACAAGTGCATATGTATTATGAATATGGGTTGAAAAATATACATCATGTCAAGAACTTGAAGTTTCGACATTATTTGGATTTCATGTTTTCTAAAATTTTTATTATTATCGTTTTATTTTATTGCCTTGAAAAATATCATATTGATACAAATTTGGACATGAAGTTCAAAACCAAAAATTCTTTTTAAATTTGATATATGTACTCGAACCTGCAGTTCCAGATATATGTTAATATATATCCAAAGTTCATCATTTTTATTGAGATTAATATTAATATGAACCTGTAG